TTATTTGAGTATATGTCTTTCTTAGCTCGAAGTTGTCCGTCCTCGTGTACTACAATATATATATATATATACAGGTATATAAATGGATCAATGGATATATGGATAGTTGGATGGACGAATGGTTAGTTAGATAGATAGCTCGATAGATTAGAAGATAGATGAATGTAGTTGAGTAGGTAGGCAAGCAGATAACCAGACAGAAGGGAAAAAATTGAAGAGAAAATGAATTTGGTTTTGAAATGTCGTCAAATAGACAAGCAAGGTCTCGTAATTTAGTTCATTTTTATTCCTGAGTAAGCCTCAAACTCTACCTGGGCACGGGTGTATGTTACAGTATCGTGTTTGTGATCTGGTGCCAAGGCCACTGCAGTCTCTTCCTCCGTTTTCAGGTGGAGGATTGGTGCATGAACGTGAGCGGGTCTGACTCCCTCCACCACACGAGACAAGGCAGGGAGTCCAAGAAGACCATGTTGTGTAATTTCCATGTATTGGAATGGCTGAAAACATTAACGTGACTTATACTTACTTTCATTAACGAAAGCTTAGTTGATAGAAATTACTGATCAGGAGAGCCAACAATTTCTTTTTATAAGTCCTCTTACGGATTTCTTGGATCTGACCTTGTTCAGTAACAGTGAGATCCCCTTGAATTAACTGACCAATAGAAACTTCCCATAATTTATTTACTTCAGTCAGAATGTGTAAACGCAAAAGTAATGATGGGGACGGTTATTAGAATACTACAGAGCCTCGGTGGGGGCGGGGGTGAGTGGAGGAAATTCAGGTAATTTTTTTTTTTGTAGCATAACCAGAATCCTCTGATCCTTTCAGGCGATAGATAATGACTGGTCCTCAACCTTGTGATATGCTTCATTTCAAACCATGCTCCACAATTCAACTTAAGTCTAACCACAAAACAAATGGAGAGACTCCATGGGAAATATTTTGTGTTTGTATCCATTTCGTGTCCAAAAATTTCCTTTCTCACAAAGAAGTACAATCCATATCATCGAGGTTTAAATTCCATCCACTCTGCTCCAATCATGTCGACCACTTAAATTTTGCTTCTTTTTTCATTTTAAATTTAGTGTAAAACAAAGTTTTATTATGGAGACAGGCAATTTTGTGTCACGTTACCATGTACATTCCTAGTGTTTCTGTCTGGCTTGCTGTTCTTGATCATTATGTTCCAGTCCCCAATAGGATTCTCTCCCCAGTAGTGTAAGCTGGTCACTGTCCAGTTTGAAAAATTTTTGGAACGGGTTAAGCTGTCAATTGGCCGTGGATAAAGGAGGCGGGACAGGGTTCCACTTGGAGAAACGGATTCCATTTCCAGGTACCCTCGGCGTGGAAACGTAAGATTCATTTGTACCTGAACATGTTCCAGGTATCGGATCCCACAGTTGTCTGCCTTCACAGACAGACGCTTAAAAAATTTTCCTTTCCAAGGAATTTGTGGCCATTCGAAGCTTCATCAAATATAAGAATTATAATGATGATTAATGAAAATAAGTGAAACCGTTCCACCTTAGGCATGCTGCAATCCATGTTAGTCCCTATGAATAAAGAGCGGAAGGTTTTTCTCACTTCGGCAAACTTTGGTATTAAGCTTCCCCACTGATGAATTCAAAATTGGATTAGCGGGAAAAAATGGATTGAAATGATGCAATATGCAAACATATCATAATTCATCATATATATCTTTTAGCAGTGCCCCAAGATCGATCTCAATAACTATACGTACTTTGATATTTCTAGATTGATTTCACAGTAGAGTTGCCTTGGCACAGAAGTCCAATTCCTCGCGTACCGAACCATGTCAAGAGCATCCATCAGCCCAAATCCATAGTACTCGCTCACTAAATGAGAATATATCGTTTTTTATGATGATTTTTTGGGAAAATAGAAAACCAGATAGGCAGGCAGACCGACAGACAAATATAAAAAATGCAAACAAAGAGTCAGACAGACTGAAAGACGGACAAACGGAGGGACGAAAATAACCAAAACTGAAAGGTAATACGCATAAAGACTGACGGACAGGCTAACAGACAGACAGACAAACAGGCAGACTGACAGACCTAGAGACAGGCAGCCAGACAGACCGACGGACAGATAGGCAGACAGGCTGACAAACCAAGGGACAGGCAACCAACCATACCCACAGATAGACAAACCGACAGACAGACAGACAGACAGACAGACGGACAGACGGACAGATAGGCAGACAGACTGACAGATGGACAGACAGGTAGGCTGATAGGCAGACAGGCAGACAGCCAGACACACATGTGCAGACACCTAGACAGATAGTCAGACATACAGTCAGATAGATAGGCAGGCAGACAGACAGACAGAAAGACTGGCAGACAGACAGAAGGACTGGCAGACAGACAGAAGGACTGGCAGACAGACAGAAGGACTGGCAGACATGCTTTTATTCAATTAGGAAATGGACATTTCAGGAAAATTCAGATGTAGATTCTATTAAATATATACCTTGAAGATCAGCCTTGTTTGTCTTCCAAGAAGGTTTGGGTCGTCTGAGCAGAGAGGGCGAGAGTGATCTTCTCGGAGGAATAATGGGCTTGGAGCTTCTGGCTATCAGGTGCTGAACATCTCGCCAAGTTAACTGTGGACTTCAAAACAATAAAACGCTACTATTAAACACTTTATAGACATCATCGAGTGATTCATTTAGAACACGCCGACAGGTATTGGTAAAACTTAAAAAAGTTAAGCCCCTACCTCGAGATTAGTGACTTCAATGGTTAGTCTCATTTTGTCTCGTAATAGTCAGAAATATGTCTAACTGCAAACATTTGCACCATTATATAAACTTTGAACAACCCGTGCAGGAAACACTGTCAAATCTGAAAGCCACGAGGATCTTCATTCTTCGAACTTCGTGATTAGATTTAGTTTCGAAAAAGAAGAAGGCTTGAAAAAGGTTAGAAACGTAAACTTGAAAGAATACGAGGGAAGCCCTTCATTCTCACGTAAGCGAAGTATTATAGTAGCACTTGATGCTGCTTTAAAATGGAAATAATTTTAATAATGTTTTAGCTGCGTTTGTTGGGGGTTTTACCACTTGCTTGGCTTTTAACGAGAAGAATTAAGACTCTTCTCTTTTCATTCTTTCCTACTACGACGTTTCAGATCTTTTTTTTTTCTACTACTGCCCCTACTGCTGCTACTTTTCTCATCTTCTACTTTTTGCGAGGAGTGCCCGCGTATTAAATACAAAAATCACAAACAAGTTTGGGTTAGCTGGCCGTAGGAGTTTCCATAGTGTATCCGTTGTTTTGCAAAGGGGGAAATTGGGTGGCTCGCTCCGAAGTACTTGGCGAGCACCAAGGAACCAATTAAACGCGAATGATTTAGCTGCGCGCGAGAATCACACGCACAAACAGGATCTTCTGTGTGGGTAAAACTCAAGGTCAGTTTTACCAACCCAAACGTGACCACGTATGAAACTCATTTATTCTCAACCATGACAAGCGATTAAAATGTCTAGCACGGTATGAAGGAAACCCGCGAACTGAGCCAAGTTCAAACACACACTAAAAATAAAGATCAAAACTATAAATCTACCAAAATAACACGTAGGCGCTTAAGGCAAGGCTCAACAAAACAAAAAGCTTAACTTAAAAAATCTCAAAATAACAACTTCCAAATTTACCTCACAACACGTTAACACACTGATCTCATAAATAAGACAGCAAAATGCTAGATCTCAAGTTCCTGATTTATATCTATTCTACAAAACGTTTTTTTCACTTACTTTGCTTCAAGGGTCAACGCAATGATCCCGGAGGCTAGCGCAGCACTGGCAGAGGTGCCCGGAAAGTTCTCCGCGCAATCTTTATTTCCTTTAGGATTCATCTATGAATAAAATAGAAAAGGAATCGGGATCATGATAAGCTACTCTGAAAGCGATTTGTACTGTCTTTTAAGGCTACAGTCGCGAACGAATCATGTTGAGATAAATCAATAAGCATGCTAAATTAATTTCACCGTCTCTTCGCCCCTAAATGTTGACAGCTCTTTTTCTGTCAAAAGAGAAAGAAAGTTCTAGAAACACCATGGATGAGATAGGAGATAGGAGAGGGGATGAAGGGGAAGAAAGGAAAATAAATGGAAGCCGTCGAAACAGTTTTGAGCGCGATTGTAGGAAGTGAGACCCCCAAACACTCAGAGTTTTCATTCAACTGGTTGACTTCTTCAAATTTTCGCGACAAAATGTGAACGTGCTGTTTTTTCGCCATTCACTGTCACAGAAAACGCCTATTACGGGCGCAGCGAAACATCACTCACTAATAGGCACCGGTTATCATCGGTGGGGGATTGGAAGATTTTGGTTGTGTCAAGAGATTAGAAATCGATTGTGTAGCGATCACATTTGCCTGTGTTGTGTCAAATTTCTACAGTCCTCCCCTTACACTCTATTCATGACGACTGATCCTCGCTCCGTTCTCCCTGAAAAATCATGTGATCCCTAAAACCCTCCCCTTCCCGCCCCTCTCCCCTAGCGATAAGTAGCGATTGGCCCTTACCATGGGAGGCTTCACTTTTCCACTTGTAAACATGTCCTGTCCATATGTCACTGCCATGATGGCCGCGCACTTCTCGGTGTAGCTTGGTACCATGCCGTCCCAGTTCACCCCAGAGATGGCGATGGTATAAATACTGTTTACATAACCGCTAAACGCACAACTGTCTCCTGGGAGTCCGCCATTTCCCGCGGCAAAAACAAATATTGATCCTTTGCTTCCCCGGCCCTAAATTTCATGATCGAAAAGAGCTTATGGGAGGGCGAGCTAATAACCCCATTGTACGACCAGACTCATATGAAAGTTAATGAGCAGTACTTTCAAACGGTATTCAACAATTATACTACGAGGGCGCACAGAATAACTATAAGATGATAAATGACCAGCGAGGTAGGCAGCGCCGAGTCGTTATAATGATCTCATATTGCGACGAGTCTGTTGGGTAGAATGATTGTTTAAGGAAAATCACTCACATGAAATACCTCTACCAACCAGCTTTTTCCTGCAGAATACTAGTTATATTAGAAAGCCCTGGGTCATCCTGGGGGGTGTAGGGTGCGCACCCCTCTGCACCAGACCCCTCCCCTAGACATACGCTTCGTGTCTCTGAATCTGTGCTTTCAAATGAGGTTTGGAGGTGCTGTTGAACTAAAACGAAACTTTAAGTTCATGGGAGGAACTGGCCACTCAAAATGTGGTCTTTTCTTACATACCAATCGTGTTCCCTTTTCAAGGATATCTGCTAATAGAGGACCGGGTCCCTTCACTTGCCAACCCATGTCCCCAGGCCCCCAGCTGTTAGAGTAGATGTCGATCGATTCCCTTTTAAAGCTCAACGCTTTTGCCTCTGATTCGTCGGTTGATTTGGTTTTGGCGTCATATATTCGAATACCTAACAATGAATGACACAACAAGATCAGCTGTAAAGGCATTTTCTTTCTTCTGACTTGCTAATTATATTACTTTGGTTTGACGATTCTCAATAGAAAAGCGTTCCAATCCGTGGAAACTACATGTTCTTCATGTAGAATAAAGACGTCAACTAAATAAAGATCATTCCAGGCTTTATTTTCCATCTATGCTTTCTTTGTGTTTGTATCAATATAATGCGATGATGCTCTCTAAATATCTGTCTAATAATATAAAGTTGACACACATAGTCTCAGAAACATGCTCTCCTTATATAATCAGTTCTTTTTCTTGTTTTGTCGGTTGTTTTTTTTTTTTTAAGTCGACCAGTGAGCGCCAAAAAATATGAAAAGTCCACTCCCATCTCTAACTGTTCACCCGAGTTTTACCTACGAAGATCAAGCTTATGTTGGCTTCAGCTCACAAAGGAACTTTCTACTTCGGACGCGTTTACATACATTGCACGGCGGAGAATGTGTTAAACGTTCCAAGCATTGGAACATAATTTAAATACTGAAAGTAGTAAAATTATTCACCACAGTGTCGATGAAGTGAAGTGATCAGTGGACATTTGCCTCTACTTATCAAGTTATCACATAATGTCACATAAATTTGTGACCCACTTTCTTACCTGCAATTTGTGCATTGTATGCGACTCCTGGGCCACACTTACTATGGAACCTTCCAGCGATGATCCCAGCGCAGCTTGTTCCATGACTAGATTTCGAGAATTAGTTGTAAGCGCACTGAATACTCAATTCAATGACGTGTCTAAAAAGAGAGAAAGGGCAAGGGGAACCATATATGCATGCAAAGATTTCCATGATTTCATTCCACAAACTCGGATTTCAAACCCAGGCCTCCTTCGACGCCTAGGCGATTATGCAGGAAAACGCGTTTTTAAGATTATGTCTCGAAAACTGTCGTCGAACGGCCTAGGTTGAAGTTTTGTTTTTAAGTTCACGGCATCCATATGAGGGTCTAAGAAAGTTTCTAATGCTTAAGGACATCCAATTTTACCCATTATGCCTAGTGTTAAGTTGTTAAACCTTCCAGTTACAAACATAGGAAGGGAACTTGTTTTCAGCCTGAGATTAACATTATGCGTTTTAAAAACTCTTTTATTACCTGTTTAGTTTTTTCACATATGAATTAGCCATGCAATATACTAGATTTTTAATTCTTACTTTTTACCCTCTTAAAATTTCTTACACTTGCTTTTAACAAAAGAGATGCATTTTTATCTTTGGTGAATAAAGACTATACTGTAGTATCATATACATTATTATAATGGACAGAGGGGATCACTGGTCACTTGCAGGGAGGACTATAGAAAATTTACCGCCATTGAGGGGGCGTCCTTACAATACTACAGAGGCTTGGGGGGAATCAGGTAAATTTTATTGTAACGCAACCAAAATCCTCCAAATCTTCGACCCCCTCCCAACCCTCCCTCCCCTACCCCCTCCCCCTCTCTCACTCCCGTTCCCCATGCCCCAGGCGATAAATAAAAACCGGTCTGTCAGTGGTATTCTTATTTTAAAAATGATGGGTGGATATTACAAAGTTTGCCATACCTGCCGGGGCTGTGGGATTCACTGATGTTTCTGTTCTCTAAGAAGTCATAACTTGATGTTTGGTCCTGCCGCAACAAAAACAAACAAACAAAAAAAGAAATGCTCCTAACATTTTTTAAGCGACTGACTTTTACCCACAGGGAGTCTGCACTTCACCACAAAAATTCTGTTTACAGCATGTTGCCTTGATGTTAAACGTGTTAGAATGCTTTCAAGTATAGTTGTTGAATATGTATAATCTCTAGATCTGAGGCATTACCCGACAAATTACAACAAATAGCCAAAAATTCGCGCCGTTGAGAGTCTCATGCGAAAAAACAAAAAACAAAAACAAAAATACAGTCAACAAAAGCAACAGCTTACGAAGTTAGATTGCAGGGAAGTATGTTTCATGTTGACCCCATCGTCCACAACAGCCACAAGAACACCTTTTCCTGTATAGCCAGAAAGCCATGTGGACTTCACATACATGGAAGGTGGGGTATCTCTCTGTAACGAAAATCGGTCGTTCTAGAGTTAAGTTTGAATAGTTAAATAGTGTTTAGCAAACTAAAGGCCTGGCTAAACTAAAAAACTTTGTTGCGGAAACATTGTTGCGGAGGCAAATGTTTCCCAGTTTAGCCGTGCGGGAAACATGTGTTGCGGAAACAAATTTTGCAGCTCGGAAACAAAAATTGTTTTTGGCTGCAGACAAAAACATTTTTGTTTCCCGGACACAAATTTCGCGTCCGAAACATGTTTCCAGTTTAGCCACGATGAAAACAATGTTGATTAGTTTCCAGTGCCGCTCGCACATTGAAAATGTTTCATAGCAACGGCGAGCAGACATCAATTAAAATGGCTGACTGCGAAGAAATTCAAGCAGGTCACGCTCAAAGAAAGGGATAGGGAAAGGGAAAGGAATTGGAAAGATGAAGAAATTGAAATGCTAATTACGCTGTATGAGGAAAGGCCTTGTCTCTGGGGACGTGGGTCATAAGGACTACATGAACAGGGACAGTAAGGAAGTGGCGCATTCGCAAATCGATCTACTGATTACACAAAAATATATCAGCCGGGGGGATTACACGAGCAAGTGGTTAATTATCAGGTCTCAATTTATGAGGGAAGAGGCTCAGGAAAGAAAAAAGAAGTCCAGTCAACAAACAAGCGATCTGTACCACTCTTCTTGGAAGTGTTACAAGTTGCTGAAGTTCGTTATTATTGTGCAGAATGCCACAAAAGGCTTTGATACAATGAAAATGTGAACATCCTTTGATCCCCAGACTTCCTCGAGGTCAGTTTATTCATACACGCATGCGTAGCCCATTTGTTTTCCGAAACAATGTTTCCTCGTTTAGTCACTGGGGCAGCAAAACATTTTGTTGTTTCCTGCTAATTTAGCCACTCCGGGAAACATCACAGGAAACAATGTTTCCGCAATAAAGTTTCCTAGTTTAGCCAGGCCTTAAGAATGTTTCCGCACAAATATTTGAAACAGGTCCTAAAGCCGAACATTCTAGTATGAAAGGCACAATCCGGAATATCCTTTTTTTCATCAGGGGTCTGGATACTTTTCAAGATTTCTTAAGGCTGTATAGTTGGGGAAAATAAACTCAAGAGGGATGATTGAATATTGTTCCTCACATGACTTAGTTAGCCATGACCTCACAAGTTGAGTACTACTAATATTTGTCAGCATTTCAGTTTCATTCAGTCTGCTCCATGCATGCATCAGATTTAGAACGTTGCTCCAGAATCTAAGTTTTATAATTTACATACCAAATACCACTGCAGCTTCGAAGAATAAGGTCCAAGAATATTTCTTTTCACCTGTTATTAAAAGTGAAAGATTTGAAGTGTCAGGAGAGGTAAACTTATCATTTTCACTCATTTGTGCGGTGTGGGCGTAAACTCGTAATATTATCGAATTAATTCATGCGTTTGAAATTTTGATAAAAGATAACGTTTCTTACCGTAAGTGTCATTTTTATCACTGAAAATAAAATCGATTGGCTGAAAAATTTAGTTACATCAGTTTGTCCCATTTTCATTTAACGGTATAATACTAATTTATATCTTCTCTTCCAAAGTACCGATAATTATTTCTCCAAGCAAACCACGAGCCCTGAAATCACGTGGAAATCCTCTTGCCCTGGTAGTCTAACAAATTTAATTCTTATTTCAAGGAAACACGGCTTGATCAGTTTTTGAACTTGCGGGCTGATCATTTTGATATTTTGAACCTATGACAGCATGAGCTCATCATTATACAATGGAAAGATAGATAGATAGATAGATAGCTAAATAGATATAGATTGATAGATTAGATAGATAGATAGACAGATAGATATACAATATTTCTTTCACTCTGATTAGATTGCAAAATCATATGCAATACAGACGACAAAGATCTCGCGTCTCACCTTTAAGCTGAATTTGTTTCCCCTAACTTGATTGATTTACAAATAAGATTGCTTACGCCATGAAACTTACCCGATTAGTTGCATAAATACTTTCCTCTTTTCTCCCATCCTTATTTTTACCCACACAGACAAAATTCACTAGCATCGACGCTAGTAAAACAATGGCCGTATAATTCATCCCAGGTCGTAGGTGAAACTGGAAGTCTATCGGTCGAAAGCGAAAATTGCTGAAATTAAAAACAGTTTGGAAATCAACATTTAGGCAAGACTGAATACAAAATAATCTCTGGATAAGTTTAATACTTTGAATCGATACTTCTCCCCGACCTTCCTTCTTTTAATCTTTAGTGGATAATCCGTCTTCTGAGTAGTTTAGTCAATAGTTTCGGCCATGAAAATGTTGTGTACTATCAACTGAATACTCGTCCGCTTATCGAGACGTGCTTCAAAAGTTGTGCAAGACAACAAATGCAAAATAGAAGATACCAACTTGATCCTGTAACGCAAGAATGTCTTCCCGCAGTCTTCTTCAGCCTTAATGCCCGTCGAGTCAGATACCGGATGTCGTATTTACGGCGATGAAGGAAGTCAAATTTGATTAGTCCACGTTGGCAGAGTCTGTCATCACCTTCTTCGCTCAAAGGAGAATCTGATTTGAATGGCTGATACGTTTGCAGCATGTATCTGCAAGGTACGCTGAAAATGTACGTACACGCACACTTAGGCCAGAAGACATAAACTTCAGTAGGCTTCAAAGCGGTTTTCACGCCGTTGTATGGTCGAATTGAATCCCTTGCCGCATTATCAGTTGGTCTATCTTAATTTCCTGCCGTGCCAGAAATTTTTTGAGGGTCTTTTCGACATCAGGGCTGGACTTTTTGCATTGAAAGTAAAGGAGACAGATGAATGACAGCAGTTGGACTGGAACTTAGTAAAACTTTCGAATATTCCGAAATGAGGGTGGCTTCGCCGTCCATTGGGGCATGTGCGCCGAGTAGGGTTTTCCGGTGCGTGCGATTCTAACGAAAAATAATCCCGTTCTGTTTGGCTTTTACCAAATCACGCCCTGAACGCTATTTGCGTTTAAACTTCTGACTCGCATCTTTCCTTTCCAATTTCCTTTTTTACTTCGGGGAATCTTTTATATGGGGTTAACCTCTAGACATCCCCTTATGAGAGATATTTTTGTAATTTTTTATTTTCTTCTCTTGAATAAAGTATTGTATCTGTATCCAGCTGTGATACAACTACCGCAGTGATTCCATTGAACGCCCTCGTTCCAATAAGAGCCCCTATCTAGTGACAGCACTGTTAGAGTACATGTAAATTGAGATCAACTTTGGTTCATCTGCCTTTAGTTGCTCACTTGAAGCCTCATTACAATTACAGCGGTCTTCGTGTCAGTTTCTTAACTATTCTGCCCGTACGAGTGCACAGTTCCTTCAAACGAATGATCTCGTCCTAAAATTTTGAGACGATTGCTTGGCTGGTCGTTCTAGCCAGGAGGGATCAAACAGCAAGGGATAACAAGTCTTCATGATCCTTCTTTAGTAATCATCAGCGTTTTGTTTCGCACATTTTACTTGTCTATTTCTCAAAACGGAAATGAGCGGCCTGTTCTAAATTGGCACCTCCTTTGAGGTACGATACTTTGGTCTCGTAAACCGAAAAAGAAAAAGAAAAAAAATACACAATGACGCCGTTTCAAAGAAATAAAAAGCCAAATTTACAGGGACTTTTAGTAACTTTTAGTGTGGCGAAAAAAAAAATCACGAGAAAGTCGACGGATATGCCAAAACACACATTCAATAAGTGAGTCAGAGCAGAGTAAACATTGAATTTTATTCACCATTCGTGGAATCCTTATCTTAAAGACAGGGATCCTCCTGTCAAATAATAATTTTAAATAATTTCTGACGCATATCAGGCGCACAATTTATAATACCTAACCCTTATGGAACTGTAATTACATAACGAAAATATAATTTTCTGAAGCACGTTTCACGGGGCTAGCATTATAACAAAAGATTAATTCTAAACCCAAAGTCTTGCCTTTCCTGCTCCTTTTTTCATTTTATTGCAAAGTTTAATCTTTAATTAATTAATTTAATTTAATTAATTTAAATTAATTAATTAACATTAATTAATGTTAGAGAATCAAGTACAGCAATGGAGACATCTAGAGAAAGTGCCGTGACTGAAAAATTTGTAAAGATCTGCTGTCGAGGTGCCATTAATACCTTTAAGTGAAACAAGCTGATCCATAAGGCAAATAAACGATGGAAACTGAAATTTTGAATGTTTCAACTTTGCGGGCCAGTTATTTACACGAAGTCTAAGCCAAACTACAGTTATACGCAAGCAGTGGGCCTCAGAGATTCTCTAAACGGGAGGGTTGATTTAACTAAATAAACGTCCTTCCACTATTAGCTTTTGGCCCTCTTACCACTATTCACAAAAATAAATGTTCAGATAGAAGGTTAGGCTAAAATGAAGATGGCTTGGAACACGCAATGGCTAAAATTTCTTTAAATAATTAGCCCTGCAAGTTAAAGAAATATGTAGCCTAAAAAATAGCAGCGGCTTGATTATCCTCGACACTTGCAAACTCGATGGAAGAATAATTATACATCATCATTTGCACGCGTCACCTTTTTTTCGGAATTGCTAGTTTTCTTTCCAAAAGCGTGTAAATAAATAAAAATTTAAATGCTCAACTTCAGAGTTGAATCTCATATTTCAACAGCTGTAGCTGAAATTCTGATCAGCCACATCAATTTCATGATACAATACAATAACCTAAAAGCCTTAAGAGACATTGACGTCCCGCAAAATATATTAAACAATTGTTACTTATAGCTTGTGATTATTCTCCCTCCAAAATAAATCCTTACTCTCTTTACACAAAATCATTTTCTTAATTGGGATATCAACTCACAATACAACTCAAGCATACATTGACGCAGCGTATTGTAGAATAATAATAATAATAATAGTAATAATAATAATAATCATAATAATAATAATAACAATAATAACAACGAACGAATATTTAAACAGGATTAACCCATCAGAACAAAATAATACTGTTCTCAAAGGGGTCCTATAAATACTAAAAAATGTAAAATGTACAAATGGAAAATACAGCCGTAAAAAGCGGTACTATAAAAAACGACAAATAAAAAATGTCCGTTGAATTTTTACCTAAATAAGACTCTGGAATTCAGTTTCCGGATCTCTAGTGGTAAACTGTTGTAAATAAGAGCACCTAACTATTGTAAATAAGGGTACTTCGTCGAACAAACTCCAGTTTCATTTTCGGAAGTTCAACTGATAAAAATATGTTCCTTGTATAAATATCGTGATTTGTCCTTGTAAAATAGTTTTTAAAAGGCCTACATATAATTATTACCAAGTAAGTAATCAAAATCAAATTCCTTTGGCTGGGGCTTAACATGTCAAAATTCAATCTGAAGTCTGAACGCCCATTAAACTAACATTAACCGTGTAATCTTCGAATTTTAAGTCAGTTGGAGACTCACAGTAACTGATTCATATAGAAGAATTAAAGTTTTGTTGAAGATGTAACCGAACAGCGATTATGTCCACGTCGATGCGGTGAGGGAGAGTGGCTTTCTATCATCATGCGCATGCGTGTTATTTTGATGTCCCTTAACATCACCTTTAATCAAGAAAGATTCCTGTTTCTCATCATCCTCTGTAAGTACTTGCTCCGTTTGTTGGTCGCCATTCTCCGCCTGGGCTTGCCTTTTCCTCCGACGACGCCAGCGCAGCAAACAGCAAATAATTATCCCCATCGACACAATGATACCAAGTGGAATCGTAGCAATGAGAAGATATTTCCGCCAAGATACTATAAAATATAATTTAAATAACCATAGTAATATAAGTGACAGGGACAATGAAAATGACAATTGTAAAGAGGGAACGATGTCAGCGTATTTGAGAATCTGCGCACCTACCCCTCCCCT